GAAGAAGATTATGTGCCCTCTGCCTGGGCAAGACAGTCAATCAAAAACGTTGGAAGTCTAATTAGGCAGGCGTTCCTAGAAACGACCCCGACAGTCTGCCATTTCTAGTTGACGGTTTTTTAATTGTCTAGGATGATTATTCAGCCGCGTCTCGGGGTATCTTCTTACATAACTGGGACATACAATGCATTGTGTATCCCTTTTTTATGAAAAAACGACTACGCACTGTTAAAATGTGTTTCTTGTAGCATAATAGTGTTGAACAATGCTTAAAGAAATCTGGGCCGTTTGATGTTAAAATAACAGCATTTTTAATTTCGGCGACTGATTGCGTGGGTGATAATCGCGCGCTGTCCCTGCATTACGCCATATAAGAGGTGGGTTTATGTGGCTTACATATATTCAAAATTCTTGTTGCACTCTCAGCGTCTCTGAGGATGGGAACCTATTGAAATACAAAAGTTCAAGCTATTCCATCTGCTGTTTAAGTAATCTCGCATTCACCAGTGAAATAAGTACCCGGAACTCCCGAATCAATTTCCCTTTACCACTTGTTCTATTTACGCAAATGAGGTGAGATAAGTTTTCAAAGGTCACTGTGATTTCGGAAAGCAAAGCAATGCGTAGTCTCTCCAGTAGTGAGGTTTTTTTTAGTTTACCAGTCCGTCAAAATTCGCAGATGACAGGATCTTACCCTACCACGTTGACAAACCTTGGCCATAAATGAATATTTCATTAGAAACTGCAATTCGGTGTGGCTTTTTCCTGCAATGATAATATTATTCGTGTTCTAGACATCTTTTAGAGCGGCCTCTCTGCAGGTTGTGTCCGATTTGTGAGCCCAACAGGCTGAGATTAAGGAATACTGTACAAATAAGTCGCACTTGAAGAACGTTACGTTATAGTTTCGGTCGGGAAAATGCCGGTACGGAGACAATTTAATCGTCTAATCCCTGACATTTATAACAGTTGGCACTAAACTTTCTCTATAAACGAACGACCCTTTAATAATACAGCTGATCGTAATCCATCAAGAAGTCCTTGGGCCGAAATCGTGGGCTGTAAACGGGGAATTCTATCATGTTTTAGTCATGCAGTTTAAACGTCAGTCTACCTCTCATGCGCATTTCAGTGAAACTCACTAAAAATGATCAACTACAGGTGACTTGTAGAAGGATTGTGAGAGATGACTGTTAGAGTTAAGTGTGTATATTAGGCGCTTTGCGCTTCAAACGCATTCTTAAGTTTGTTCAGAGACCAGTTATGGATGAACTCCTTTCCCCACCTAATTTTAGCACAACCCAAATTCCCCAAAGATAAGCCAAACCCCATTCCGGGACTTGATCGTGCCTCAAGGACAGCACTTACGAGCAATGCCAGTTGGATATAGAGGGTCGATGATAAACGCAGGTGCGCACAGCGACGTCTGCTAAGTAATGGACGTATGTCGTACCAGTCTTAAAAGTACTATCCGCTATTCTTCAACGCATACACCGCGTGGCAACTGGATTATCTTCAGTTATCTAACTGATCTGAGAAATAACCAATTACCTCCATGAAAAGCTCGTTCAGCAATGTCACATTGATTGACTGGTGACCATAATAGCGCGTATGTTCCCTATACAGGGTCATCGAAGCACGTTTTGCCTTGTGGTCTGTATTTCTTGGTGAATTTGGTAGTTTTATAAAAGAACGTTATAGTTACAGTGATTTGAAGCGAGAAGCTGAGAATTATAAACCACGTTCACTGTTCTTTCCGAAGATGCTCACAAAATGCTTAAAACCGGAGTAAAAATATATTTCTGATAGTTTAAGCGAACTTTTATTGATCAAATGTTTTCGTCAACCATCTGTTGATGAATTGTCGCCACTCATGTGAACGTTTTTTCTAGGCTCGGAGGTTAGATACCGGTTTTGTAAAACGATCGCATTGCGGTTGTAGACGGTCGACTTTAGTTTGCAAAAGGCTCAGAATCTACACTTAAACTGTTCGTTTTTTTGTAAACGTATATCCCCCTAATATTCCGCATCTGAGTGAATTATTTCATTAGTCAATCAATTATCAATTCTACTGACAGTCTGGGCTTGAGTGGCTTCTATGCTTTAACCATCGTTTTAGAAGTGCGGACCACGCACCTTCTGTGAACCGAAATCGCCTCTATATTTATGTGATTGTTGACAAAAAAGGTGCTGCCCACTACTGTCGGTGCTATATCTGAATCACATTTCATTATCCGAAGGTATACTTTATTGAACTGCACATTACAGATTGGCAGTTTTATTGCATTTAAAAATTACTGCGCCTACAGACGTACCAGTAACCGATGACGTCTTTTATACTGACCAAGTTCCAACGAACATACTTTCCAAGAATGAATTAATGAGTGAACCCTCCTGCAAATTACTTGTGTAAAATGGAATTTCCGTATTGTGGGTAATGATCATTAGTGCTTCAAGAGCCTCTTAATGGCTTAATCCACTCTGGAAAAACCTTCCTAGTCATGCATTGGCCTGTAGAACTTTGACAATCTGATGTGGTCTTCCTAGCTAACTCTTGTATTCTTTCTACTTACTCGTTCCATTTAAGTCTGATTGACGGCCTTCACAATGTCTCTTATCGTCTTTCACCTCAGCGGTATCACTAGTGAACTGATATGCTAATCAATGTTGTAACTTTGCTAGTTTCTCAACTGTGCCTCTGTTGCAAATGAAAAAACCTTCTGACGGTCATTTCGAAGGTTTCCTTCCATGCGCGCATACACGGTGCAACGAGGTAAATTTCTGCTATGATACCTATTCAAGCATTGAAAAAGTGAAGTTCGGCAAAAGCATCTTTTCACTTATATATTATTGGGCCTTAACAATAAAATAATCAAGTTAGGGTAAAACAGCGAAAACTAAGATCAAGATGGTCAAACGGCTGGGCGCCTATCCAAGCGCATGCGAAAATACCATCCTGTCTGGCTGAATCAGGGCATAGTGAAGTGTCCATCTCTGTCGCAATTTGGGTTCACTTGATGGACGCCAACCAGGTATTCCGAGTCATCTATAAAACGTCGGTAGGATACTCCGAGTTTTTACGCCGAAGGATACTTGTCACTGCAGAGGTAGTGGCCATACGGTAAGCCAACTCAGCCTTCTGCTCGCAGAAGGAGTTTACACAAGTCCTCAAACAGCCTTGTCCAAGGTGAGCTCGACATGTTCGTTCTCGCATTCTGCCACATCGCGCTGCAACGAGAAAACATGAGCACATCTCACAGTCAGAATACTTTCCTCTCTCACTTCCTTCCTCTACTAACCTCCCCAAGTCCCAGTTAAAACCGACATGTCTAAGCGTCTCAACTGTCTGTTCATTAGCTGCTTTAACTTTTGGTACTATAGCCTAATGTGCTTATATTACTGTACAGGGATGAGGATGGAGAACCGATTTCGTACGTTCTGCACGCCTGACTACCTAAGTTGAATTCTTTAAAAGCTTAATTTACTCTTACGTATTCTTATTTATCCCTAAATGTTTCTTTAATTGCTATCACGACCAAGATGTCTATGAGTTCAAGTAGAGTTATGCATCTTGCAAGAAAGCGATTAGGTTCGAGTGGAGACGCCAATGCGACAATGCGGGGAGCCTTACAAAGCATTCACAACTGACAAGGAGCCCTCACATCGACCGTACCAAAGGCAGCAACTACAGTAGATGTGCTATCGCTTGAAATGCTAATCGAAAGTCTAAAATGTTTTTTTTAATTCTAAAAGATGACTAAATTCAACTTTTAATACTAATTGTCCTGCAGCTTAGTCCGAAGATACTTTAACCATGTCCGCATGGTAGCTTTCGAATGAGCTTCTTGTCAGCTACCTGCAAAATCCAAACTCTGCAACAAAATGACTAGTAAATAGTCTGATGTTTTCCATTTATTGGCGATGCCCTTATAAACTTAAGTGATCTATACAGGAGACATTCACAGAAGTATTTTTCCTATGCTCATTTGATGAAAAATTACTATTTCACTAAATTGCATACTCATCAATGCATACTCTATCGGCTTTTGAAAGTGTACATTTATCAGTTTTCTAAGACCAAAAATTGGCCATTCGTACAGCATTGCAATAACACGTTTGCTAATGTCACTTCTCGGTCCAAATTCATTGTAAAAATTTATAAATTTTATTTAATATGTTTTTAAAAGCCTAGAAAAATTATTTATATTTCATTGACGGAATGTATTCAGCAGGCAATTTGGAAACCCTGAATGCAAGTGCACCGGAAAATGGAGCAAATACTCTCTCTCTCCCCCTTAAAGGAAGCACAAGTGCGTTTTTGACGTTTTCTATAAAGTGCAAATAAGTTAAAAGTGACATCGGTAATAAATGCAAAAATTTCGTTCCAAGTAAGAAGGAATTTGATTTCAGGGTGTAGTTTTTATAGACGGCGGAGAAGAAACTCAGTTGACAGAGGTGAAATCGTCGTGTGACTCAAACATCTTAGGATTATGCTGCACGATAATACGTCTTGTAAGCCTACTTAAATAATCTTTTCAAATGGAAAATATATTTCAAAATTCTGCTTATAGTTTCATGTGATTGCTCGTCTACCATGCATGAGCCCTAACCCGTGGTGGCCTTTGCAACAAGTTCGCACGTGAACGCCCTTTCGTGACCACCATCAGTGTGGATGAACTTCTGCGCGCTTGCCTCCATACAACCGACGTGACCTCTCGAGCCAATTCAAAAACCACGACTCAGAACACTGCGACCCCAGAAGTTGCATGACTGCAGCCCACAGAACTCTGGTGGTCAGCTCCTGCGGCCGCCAGATCATGGTATCTTCAACCCGCCTAACGCACCGTGCTAAACGAGTTCTTGAGCAGTGCATTACACGGCGCCAGGGCAACCCTCTTTAGTCTTATGTTCTCTGTCATGCTGATGGACGCCTACCGTGATGAACACCCCGGGATCCGCATCGCCAGAGGAGGGACTGTCACCTATTGAATCAACGCCGGATGCACTTCCAATCACGCGCCTCCACCACCACCGCTCACGAACTTTTCTTCCATGAAGACGGCGCCGTGAACATCACCTCGGAAGAGGAGATGCAACGGAGCATGGACCTCTTCTCTGCCGCCTGTGAGAACTTCGGTCTGGTCATCAACACGCAGAAGACGGTGGTCCTACATCAACCGCCACCCAACACAGCCACTCTTCCCAACGCGCCGCAAATCAGTGTGAACGGAACCCAGCTACAAGTGGTTGAGAACTTTCCGTACCTGGGCAGCACCCTCTCCCTTGACACCAAAATCGATGACGAAGTCGCTCGCAGGATCTCGAAAGCCAGTCAAGCCTTCGGTCGCCCCCAAAGCACAGTTTGGAATAGTCATGGTCACACACTGAGCACGAAGCTGAAGATGTACAAGACCGACATCCTGCCGACGCTGTTGTACGGAGCGGAGACTTGGACAGTGTACAAAAAACAGGCACGTCGACTGAACTATTTTCATCTCAGTTGTCTCCGTTGCATCCCGAGGCTGAACTGGCAGGATCGAATCCCCGACACTGATGTGCTGGAACGGGCGGGAATCCTCAGCATCAACACCATGCTGAGACAAAGGCAGCTGCGCTGGAGCGGCCACCTGGTGCGTATGGACGACGAGTGACTACTCAAACAACTCTTCTATGGAGACGTCGCGACGGGCTCTCGCCGCCAAAGAAGCCGAATTCGTCGTTACGAGGACACTCTGAAGTCCTCCCTAAAGCGTCTGCAAATTAACCTGACCAACTGGGAAGAGCTCGCTCTCGACCGACCGACCTGGAGGAGGAAAGTGAAGACAGGCGCTGCGATCTAAGAGGTCAACCGAATCGCCGCTGCCAAAATGAAACGCGAAGCACGCAAACCACAGCTACGCCCCGTACGCAACGCCGACGCACAACCGCTTCCAACGTATCCTCGGTGTCAACGGACATTCTCGGCACGAAATGGACTCATTGGACACCTTCGGACAAACTGCACCTCCCATACCGCGCCAACCGCCGTCCCTCCACCCACCTATTCCTCGTCCTCTCCACCGCCAACTAACTCTTCTGAACCACCACTTACATCCTCCTCGTCCCCCTCCTCCTCCCCCTCCTTCTTTCTCCCATCATCCTCCTCCTCCCCCTCCTCCTTTTCCACACCCTCCTCCTCTTCTTCCTCCCCCTCCTCCTCCTCCTCCTGCCCCACTGCACCAACCACGACCACTCTGGTGGCCGTCACTCACACCAGCATCACACACATCCATGACACAACAACAGACACCCTCCCTTCAGTCTCCGACACCAGGGGTGAGGACCTGGATTACAGCTGCCCTCACTGCGACCGCACCTTCACCTCACACATCGGCCTGGTCGGTCTCTTGCGAATCCATCGCACAGAGGCTGGCGAACCAGTGCCTGGAGCACCAAGCTATACCCACCGGCCTCGTCTCAACTGCCTACACTGTCCTCGCACTTTCACCCATCGCATGGGCCTATTCGGCCACATGCGCATCCACGAGAGCGGAATTGACCGCCCTCCCGACTCACATACCACGCCAAACCCCATCCCCACTTCATCACCATTTGCGCCCATCACCGTTATCGCAACTGACACCGACACCTCCGACTTCACCTGCCCACACTGTTCACGCACATTCACCTTTCGCATCGACCTGGTCAGTCACTTGCGAATCCATCGCACAGAGACTGGCGAATCAGTTCCTGGAGCACTCATCTACACCCACCGTACTTGCCTCCATTGCCCTCGCACTTTCAGACATCGCATGGGCTTACTCGGCCACATGCACATCCACGACGACCTGCGGTAGGCAACCGCCTGCTCCACCGCACCCTAACACCCGCCCTCCCTGCCTCCACCACCACCACCACCCCACCACACATCAACACTCACCCACCGCAAGCACTTAACTGCCACCTCCCACGCAAGTGGGAAGTGTGCATCTCGACTCGGTCCCCATGCGGCTTCGGCTGCACGGGTGACTTGAGTTTGGGACTATCCCGACACGTCAAGCGTCGTGGATAGGAAAGTTGCTGATTGACGCCCGCTCTCGGTTCACGCAGTTCGTCGCGTTGTGTGTGTGTGTGTGTCGTGTTGAGTGGCGGACTGGTGGGCTGAGGACTGGCTGAAACAGGACCTACCACGGCCCTCTCACGCAAGTGAGAGACACGACGTTCAACCCCCGTTGTGTGAAATCCTGGTGTTCGTGTCTATGGGCGGCCAGGTCGTGCACGTGGCGCGCAGTCATGGTCAGTCGACCATGCTAGCCGCCGCGCCCAATTTCACACTCCAGTCTGCTGACCGGCTCGGACAGTGGCTGGGGTGTGGGAATGGGAAGGGAGAGTAAGGTCGACGACTCAGCGCACTTCCTCCTCACTATAAACAATCTGACGCGCTTGAAGCTATCACGATGCGATAAAAGCCGTGTCTTGGAAGGTTGCCAACTGACGGGATAACTTGGACCTCCTTCTTGATCGGAGGCGGTCTGAGAGTCAGGCTGCAATGGCTGCTTCTTAATGTGGCCTCTGTGGCACTCCCACTGTGTGGGATCCGAGCCAGGCGTCGGCCGTGCCAGCCTCCAATCTATGTTGTGTTGGTTGAAATCCTGGTTATGTGTTGTGTGGACCAGGGGGTGTGGTGAAACGCCAATGTGAGGATCCGTCTGAGCCATCCACCTGCGGCCTCCCTCGCCTCCGGTCTTCTTGACTCTGTACTGACACCGGGCTCAGGCGGGGGAGGAGGAGAGAGTGTAGGTAGATGCAGCTCAAGTCTACTGGCACTATAAACCCCTGCGCAAGTCACCGTCCCTGCTCCCACCGCTGCTGCTGTGGGGCACACGGTGGATATAATCGAAATCGATGGTCGAACTATCGACTCGGCGCCAGGGTGGCAAAAGCTCAGAACCAATTGACGTTGCGTTTTTCGTTGATAAGCTGTGGGCACGCGGAGTGCCGTTGTACCGAGTCTTACAACCTTAAGAGCTGTCAATGGTCTGAAGACAATGCTCGCTGCATTTGCCTTCTGAGCTGTGTGTACGCTTTCTCGCCGCAGTAAAGATTGTCCTTCTACTCTCTCTCTCTCTCTCTTCCCCGCCTTGTGCTTTTGAAAACTCCCATTCGTCGCCCATTGTGCCTCGACAGGACCACGTCAACCATCTCATCGTTTGCATGCAGTGTGACCATGTAGTCGGACATCCTGAATATTAAATGCATTCGTCTAATGGACATGCAAGATATAGGCTGCTGTTTCGAGAGTCCACCCAGAGCACCACAATAATCACGCCCAATTCCCACTTTAGCGAAGCATGATTGGATAAGGAATAGATTATTTGTGGCTCTGACGCGCGACCGACTTTGGACCTGCGCGGGCGTCAGTCTGCTCAGTGAAATGGGCGTGAACGAATAAACGGCAGCATCAGATTGATCAGTTGATTGGGCAATAGCGGAGTCCGCGGGCGGCAGTGAATGGATGCTCCAGAGACTGCATGCGTCCATGTAATGGCAACCCCTGGTCTTGATCGCGTGATCCTGAGCAGGCCGCGTCCTTGAGAAGCGAAGACGCTTGCGGCGCTCGCTCCCACCCTAGTCAACCTCCTGTTCTCCATCATTCCGATAGGTGCCTACCATGATTAACTCCCTGCGGTCCGCATGATCCACAGCACCAATGACAAACTTCAAAATAACCGGCACAGGGAGATCCCAACACGCCCCTCGACGACTAATGTCCACGACCTGCCCTTCTTTAGCCACTGCACGCACAGCAACACGAAATGAGCAGATATGCAACGGCGTATGAAACTTTTCGCCATCGACAGCTCTAAATTCGGACTAAAAATAATCTCGGACAAAGCATTGGTCGTGAATCAACCTCTGCTACACGTGTGACCCTGGCATGAGACTATCAAGGTGCCTCAAGCGCTGTGACTTGGAAGGTTGGCGACTGACACGCCAACTCAGTCTACGCAGTCTACCCAGTGGTGAGGCTGACAGGTGGACTGAGAGTCGGGCTTCAATGGCTCCGTCTTAACTTGACCTCAAACACTTTCACGCACGTGAGACGCATGCCACCCATCTACTGTTGTGTAGAATCCTGGCGCTTATGTTTGAGGGCCAGGTCGTGTATGTGGCACACGTATACATCTGACCGACTCCGACAGTACCTGGGGCATGGGAATGAGAACAGATGCTGAGGCCGACAACTGAGCGTACTTTCCTCATTATACCCAATCCGACGACCTTGAAGCTGTCGTGGTGCGCTAAAAGCCAAGATTTGGAAAGTTATCAAACGACGGGACAACCCGGTCGTCACAGTTATCCCCCTGTGTAAGCGTCCGTTATTCCATGACCAACAAACCATGGCTCTCGCTGCCTGGTTCGCCCCGACAGCTCTCTGACACCTGGTTCTCTGTCGGTAGCCACAGTCGAAATGTAGGGTGTGCGTGTGTGATTGTGCCCGCAACGGACCACGTGGTAGATGCGTTGGATCAACACTAGACTCATATCGAATGCTGACAGTCGTAATCGGAATTGCATAGCATAACAAATGCGAGCATTTCGGGACGCGGTGTTAGACCCGATTGCTGGCAGACGTCGCGCAGGCTAGGACCCCTGTCGCCCCGCTCCCATTGTTGTTGTTGGTCAAAAACCCGGCCATTTGCCGCAATGGCACTTTAATTGTGGCCTGAGGTACAGTGGCAGGGGTTATTTATTGCGGCTACAATAACAGTTGCGTAAACCTGAAAATTGGTTCAAATTTAAGTTCGCATTAGTAAAATTCGCATGTGAATTGAAAATGCCAATTTACCACACGTTCTAGACCCCTAATAGACAATCTATAACTCTGAAGTCCCTGACAACCTGTCTGCCAATGTAAGCTCTGTATTGCTCGCATGCGAGAGTGTTGGCGGGACTGCAGACTTCCACAACTAATCTAACTGCAAATGCTACCATGCCTTCTGTGTACCCCCGAAATTCAGACCATGCTCATTCGCCTGCAGATGTTTCAGACCTGCAATCGACCACGTCATGATGCATGGCAAGGAAGCACTGCTGCACTGATGAATTCCACATCTTCAAGCCCACTTAGTATAGAAAAACTTGGAACCTTTACCAAACACATGACATGGACATAGCAATTCCGAACCTCGTAGGGGCATGCGCCTTCCTGCAAAGGGGGGAGCCAAGAGACAGTGGAACAGGAAGATAACTGTGTTCAAAATAGCATGTTCACGAGTGACACAATGAGATATTGACATTCCGGCCTATGGACAATTAAAAGGGTATACGGACGATTGGATAATGCCTAGTTGGCTCCCGACAACCACCGCCTCGACATTCACGTCCTCGCAGAAACGGTTTGACACGTTCACGAAATCCCACCCACCAGTCGGCTGGTGCGAGTGGATTAGATGCTCGTCCCGGCTCCTCCACTTCTCCCTCCCCCTCCTCAGGCCCATCCTTCACATCCGGCGCATTCTCTTCCTCCACAGTCTTCAGTCTTCCCTCTTCTGCCTCATCTAACCAGATCCTCTCCGTCGTGGCTGCCTGTGGCGTAGGCGCATTCAGCAGAAGGATGAGGAAAAGGAAGATGAGCAGGAGAGGAAGCCGAAGTATCGCAGCGCAGTTTTCAGACATGTACCTTGTCATATGCCTTGCTGACTTTCATACCTGTTCGAACAGTTTGAGTGTGTAGTAGGATAAACAGAAGTTGTCCACCCACGCACATACACACCTAAACACGCTCAGTTGTTTATTACTGGGTGGGTGGTTTTGCTACGTACGTATGCGTCCCACGTATGCGCAAGTTCATGCATCTGTCCTCCCTTGCGTTGGCGAAGGAGCTAAGCGGACGCGGCAGACACAGTCGGAGAATTTTCCATCTAAGGCAGCTTCTCCAACCATCCCATCTAAACATTGAATGCAGCCGGTCTTTTGACTGTAGGCGTCCCAAGAATTTGGTTGCACCGACTGCAGAATCAGTGAGGCACGCAACCTGGCGCACTTATGAATAGAAACACAGCCTGCCTCAGAAGACGACCTCCTCTCTCCATGCTCAACATTTGCTTTGGCCCTCATGTGCTCGCTTCCTATTTCTGTTTTGTCAGATTCCTCAAGTAATTCAGATGACTGACTCACTCCAAACGGCACTTTGTTCATTCGTTAGCCAACACCCTTGCAGTGCCTATCTGCTTAATATCACCATACACCTTCGAAAAGTCGCGGAAAGCCCGCGAGACAGAATTTCAGATTGTGGAACGTCTGGTTCAATAGGTGGCACGTGTTGGGCCTTGACGTGGTCTACTGATGGTGGAATGTATACTGACAAGTCTTATTTTCTCTGTATAAAGGGCTGCACATTTCTAAAACCTGCGAGACATAGCATCAAACCACACATGTGGGCGCTGACCGAACACAATATCCTTTTTTCCCAGATGGCGACAGTTCATCCCATAGTTGCTAGCGCCTTTTCGCTCGAAGCCTATCCACGCTGCCTCTTTTCTTAGTTGCTTTCGTAGGCAACCCGGAAAAGAGCGAAAGTCGAACTCTCGCGCTGAGTTCTAATAACCTCAACTCCAGACAGAGGTACACAACTGGCCTTGCGGCAACTGCTTCCATGGCCACCTGCGCGCTCCTATGCGTCAGTAAATTTGTGCAACCTAATCCGTTGGGAACTGTTGTGTTTTCGGCCATACGACCTCGCCAGATCCATGAACGCTCTTAATAACCGTCAGCCTTATTGTCCTGACGTCTAATGCAGCTGCCGCCTAGCACCAGCTCCACTCGAGTTATGCCTAACTGCCAAACCGGAAAG